TTTCTCATAGTTCTGGAGGCTGGAAGTCCAAGATCAAGGTTCTATTTGATTCCATTTCCTGCGTTGTAGATGGCCACTTTCTCACTGTGTCTTTACACAGCCTTTGGTGTATGTGCAGGTTGAGAGAAAGAGGATCCTGTCTTGGATGTCTTTTTACAAGGATACCAAGAAGAAGTCTGCACATGCTCAGTACAGGTGCAATCAACCCCCCACCCCCTCAATATATTCAATCACATTGGCTGAATCCACAGCTGCAGATCTAAAATATATGAATGGCTCACTTCTGTTCTTTTAAATATATTCTTCTTGTATATTCACATACTTATATACATAATCGACAAATAAAAAAAGATAAGTCATGCAAGTCAATAAAACACCAAAGAAGGGAAAGATACAAAATCCAATTTAGAAGTGGGCATAAGACTTGAAGATAGCCAAACGGAAAACACAAAAAGGGACTCAACCTTATTTAGTCATGAGGAATTGCAAATGAAAACAATAATGAAAGATTACTACATAAGCCCAGGAATGGATAAAATGAAAGTGACTGACAATATCAAATGTTGGCAAGGATGTGGAGCAACTGGAACTCTCATCCACTACAGCTAGGCTTGTAAGCTGAATGACATGTAAGGTTCTGCCCGATTCCATTTCTGGTGAGGGCTTTGCTCAATTTCTGGCTTCCAAAACGTTTTGGAAACTTGTTCATAATATCTACTAAAGTTGGGTGGCAATTGATTCTCTGGACCATCATTTCTGTTCCTAAGCATATACCCTAGAGAAATGGAAATGTATTCTCGGGGCTGAGAATGTGGCTCAAGCAGTAAGGCGCTCGCCTGGCATGCGTGTGGCCCGGGTTCGGTCCTCAGCACCACATACAAACAAAGATGCTGTGTCCACCGAAAACTAAAAAATAAATAAAAAATTTTTTAAAAAAAGAAATGTATTCTCATAAAGACTTGTACAAGGATGTTCATAGCATCTTTGGTCATCATAGCTCAAATCTGGAAACAACCCAAATGTCCATCAGCAGGAGAATGGACAAATTATAATCCAATCATTTGTCTTATTTATGTAATGAAATATTATTCAGCAATAAAAAAGAATAAAATATCACACCATCTAATGGAATGGATGGAACTCAGACCTAATGGATGAGTGAAAGAAGGCCAACACAAAAGAGCACCTACTGTAATTTTCCATTTATAAGAGGTTCTTGAACAGGCAAAATGAATTCATGATGAGAGAAGTCAGAAAATGGTTACCTCTAGGGCCAGGAGAAGTGGAGTGAGGGGGATTTTTCAAGGAGTGGGAATTCTGGTGGGTGTGCGTATAGCTAGAGGCTCATTGAGATCCTCACTGGGTTTATCTTTTTGGCTGCATGCCCATTATATTTTAATGACAAGGAGAAAATCCACTATAAAAATGAGGAGTGAACTTAGTACTTTGCCTCATGGCACTTACCCTGCATGCAATCATGTAGGTTCACCTGCACGATTATGTGATGTGTGTCGGTTGTCCCCAATAGCCTCGTGTTCTGGCACGTGCCTGTCTTGCTCATTCTTGTGTTCCTGGGATCTGCTCAAAGCGGGCTCTTGGCAAGTGTTTGCTGGGTGCATGCACGAGTGTTGGATTGTAACCAAGCTCTGGCCCCCATGTGTGGGAGGAGGGAGAGAGAAGCCATCCACTCTGGTCAGGGGGCAGGGTTGCTTCACCGAGGAGGGGCCATCTGGGACACAACTTGAAGGCTCTGTGAGATTTTTCTCAGGCAGCACACAGGAGGAAACACATCAGTTCTGTTCCTAAGCATAAACCCTAGAGAAATGGAAATGTATTCTCATAAAGACTTGAACAAGAATGTCGGCAGAGAAGCTTGTACTTGCAATGGTGGCCGTAAGAGCACAGGGCACCTGGGCTTTCTGTTGTGCGGCGGTGGTAGGAGCCCTGGCTGGTGACTGCGGAAGGAGGTGAGGGTCAGAAGGTAGGCCGAAAGGTTTGGTCCTTAGTCTGCAGTAATCATGGAGATACAGCTGTCACCAAACTGGATCAGCATTTTAGAAAGTTTGCCAACTGGACCCCAACAGCACTAGCCAGTTCTTTGTGGAGGCAGGAAGGCAAAGGCCCCTCAGGTTCTTGCTCAGACTGGGAGATGGACCACCAAGGATGAACCTGTCTTGGGCACCCTGGTGGCACCCAAGGGTCTGCTAGGCTGAGCCTGGGCCCGCTGGGCTGGTAGAGCAGCGCCACCTACTGGTGGGTCCTGCACCTGCACTTTGTGGTCCATCTGCTTCCTCCACAGCCTTGGGGTCCTGGAGGGACACAGACCAGGACTGAAACCCAAGAAGGAGGGTCAGTAATAGAGCTTTTATGGAATATTGGGGTCCTCCTACGTGTATTGGAAAGAAATTGTTCCTGTGCACTGAACAAAGACAAATTGAAGTTACTGGGCGTGGGACCTATTCTATCTGGACTGATTCTTATTCCCTCACCTTTTGGCATTTGTGACTTTGAGAAAGTTCCTTAAGCTCTTTGTGCCTCCGTCTCCTCATCCGTCTCCTCATCCGTAAGTTATAGATGACAACGGCCTCCACCTGCATCAGCATCTGTAGCCCACTCAGCCTAGGGCCTGGCACTCCCTGAGGGCTCAGGGACATCTATTTTTCATTGTCTATTATTATTGCCACATTATCACCCAAGGGCTGGAGGGTGACAGCATGTGACACAGAGGGCATAGGGGTCTGTCCCTCCTGGAAGGACTGGTGCATGTGGTTGAGCAGCCTGGACTCTCTCCCTGCTGCTTGAGGCAACTCAGAGGAATGAGATCAGATCTGTGTCCGAGCAACCCTCTCTATTGTCTAAGCCTCATCCCTGGCATCCGGGTCCCCACAGCATCCTCATCAGGACAGGGGCTCAGGGAGGTCACCATGTATGTTAGCACAGTGAATTAGGGGCGGAGTCAGAATCCTGCCACGGAGCAGGGAGACCTGTCAGGCCCGAGGCAGGGCGTGAGCGTGAGGAGGATGCACGGGTGTGCAAGTTCTGAGAGTGTGCTAGTGTGAGCGTGTAAGAGGGCAAGTGAGTGTGTGCGGCCACGTGAGAGCTTGAACATGAGCGGTGAGTTGTGTTAATGCATGTGCACGAGTGTTTATTTGATTGTGTGAATGTGAATCGTGCGTGCATGAGTGTGTGCACAGGGTGTGCACATAAGTGTGCAACCACAGGTGAGCAAATGTGGACGCAGTGTGAGTGAGCTGAGGGTATTGGTGCAAGAGCGGGTGCTTGTGTAAGAACACGAGTGTCGGGCTGGGGATGTGGCTCAAGCGGTAGTGCGCTCGCCTAGCATGTGTGCGGCCCAGGTTCGATCCTCAGCAGCACCACATACCAACAAAGATGTTGTGTCCGCCGAGAACTAAGAAAAAATAAATAAATGTTAAAATTCTCTCTCTCTGTCCCCCCCCTCTCTCACTCTCTCTTAAAAAAAAAAAAAGAACACGAGTGTCCTGCATATCGTGAGTGTGAGGAGTGTATGTGAGTGTAAGAGTGTTGGCGAGTGTGCGTGTGAGTGTGTTTATGGAGCACTCGTGTCATTGCCCTCCTTGGACCCAGGCTCACGTCCCCACCACACGTCCCCAGGTCCCTGGCTGAGAAGGGGTGACCTGGTGCTGTGGCTCTCCCACGCCATCCTGTCCCACGCTCCTGTCCTTTCCCTACCTGTACCCAGTGACAGTGGCCTCCGAGGTCCCCTAGAAGATGCCTCTTGGAGCTATTTTGCCAGGAACCTGTGGAACAGCTCAGAGGGGCCTGGGGGGAAGGCCAGCACGAGGGGATTCTCCACCATCTGTGCTGTGGTTTCTGATGTCCGGTTTCAGACGTGTCCCCGGCTCCCAGGGCATCTCGGGGCAGGCACGCGGCTGCCACCGTTAGTCCATCATCTCTCCCTACACCCAGTGGGGGGCTCCGGGTCAGCAGATTTCAATTTTGGGGGCCGTGCAGTTTTGTTTTAAAGAGGAAATCTTGCGGCACGATCCAGCAACACAGTCATGATGATCCGAGCGAAGTCGAGGGTCCCCCTGGAATCTGTCTGTCCGTCCACACTCGCTCTTCTGGAGAGTTTCACAGAATAGTATCAGACTGATTTGTGAGAGAATTTCTGAACTGGTGGCGGGGGAAACTCCACCAGGGGTTACATAATATTTTCCAGGAGATTTTTCTTCTTTTTTTTAAAAATTAATTTTTATTAATTTTATTTACATTTTTAAATTGAAATGTTTTAAGGTTTTTTAAAAAATTTTTTAAAAGCAGAAACATTTTTTATGGCTGGGAGGGTCTCACCGCTGTGCTTCAGAGGGCCTCTGCTAGAATGAGCACCGTGGGGTTTATTTTTGGTCCTGGGGATTGAACCCAGGGGCACTTACCCACTGAGCCCTTTTGGTTTTAAGACAGGGTCTCACTAAATTGCTTAGGACCTAATGAAGTTGGTAAGACTGGCCTTGAACTTGTCATCCTCCTGCCTCAGCCTCCTGGGCTGCTGGGATTGCAGGCAAGTGCCACTGTGACCCGCATGCCTGTTTTATGTCTGTGACTGCAGTCTAGCCCCAGAGGACGCTCCTTAGGTATTCACTGGGAGAATCAAGCAAAGGGAATAACGATCGGAAAAGGGGTGGAGTTGGGGGTTGAGCGTGGTTGAAGTTCTGCAGGTCCTGATGGTCTGACCCTTTTCCCTACTCCTATCTTGCTCAGTCATATGCATTGCTCCCCTAGAGGAGGCTACATGTGGAGAGTTGTAGACCCTTTAGATGGCAGCTGACACAGAGAGGGCTGGTGATTTGCCTGGGGCCACATAGCTGGCGTGCACAGAGCCAGGGCCATGGGTCCACCGCCCAGGGAGCCTCCCAGACCCTCGGGTAGGAAAAGCCACCTGGGAGATCTTTGCGGGAGGCATTGGGGGCAGGCGGGCAGGAGCGCAGGCCTCAGTGACACTGTCCTTGTGTTAGTTACAGGGCTCTCATCAGGCCCACGTACAGGGTGTCCTACCGCACGGTGACGGCGCTGGAGTGGAGGTGCTGCCCTGGCTTTACCGGGAGCAACTGTGAGGAGGGTAAGTCTGCCAGGGTGCGGGGCGCCTGGGGGACAGGGCATGGCCAGGCTGGGCCGTGGGGACCGTGGACGTGGCTCCCCGCTGCCCTCCACTTTCCACAGGTGGTTTATAACGTGAAATTCTTTCCTTTTCCCAACACTGACCCAATACTCTGGACTGGCCAGCCAGGGTGCAGCTGCTCACCCTGCCCTGGGCACGAGGGGGTCCTGCGGGTACCACCCAGGTGAGAGTTGGAGGAGCCTCCGGAGCCCGGGCTGGGTAAAGGGGTTGGATTTACAGCCTCCTCCTGCCTCCCCGGCTCCACCAAGCCCAGGCCTGGGGCAGGCACGGTGGGCACATGGGTCCAAGAAAATGTAGACCAGGGCCACCAGGCTAAGGCCACGGATTTTGTAGAATGAGGCAAACACTAGGAGACCTGGGGGACTGCTGCAGATGGGCCTCAGCTAGCTATCCTGGGTGCTCAGAGGGAGGACGGATGAATGGGCCAGGCCAGCACCTTCCCAAATCCTGGGGCCCCAGCTCGGCCTGATCCTGGAGCCCAGGAGACCTGAAAAGAGCCACAGGTGGGTCAGAGGTGGACGGCAGGGCAGGTCCCCGACACACTCACAACAGGGAAACGGCCACCTGGTTCCCCATAGAGTTGGTCCAGCAGGAAGGAGGCCCAGTGGTCAGTTTTGTATTTGGAGACAATAGTTATCCTCCATGTGGAATTTCTGACAAAATTATTGTCTCATTTTTTTATTATTTAACTTATTATATTTTTTTGTATTGATAGAAGCCCGGGTATTCTGCCACAGAGCCATGTCCCCAGCCCTTTTCATTTTGTGTTTTGAGGCAGGGTCTTGCTGACTTACCCAGGTTGGCCTCCAACTGGAGATCTTCCTGCCTCAGCTTCCTGAGTTAGTGGGATTACAGGTGTGTGCCACCATGCCCAGCTCCTAACTTATGTTTTATTAGTGTTTTTTTTTT